TTTTTGAATATTAGTACAGTTGTTTTTGGGAAAGTTCTGCGTCATGAAAGTGTCACAATTTTCGATGCGTCACAAAAAAAAAACGAAAAACAACAAACCCCATACATTTTCACGAAATATGTTATTTCAAAGATGACCTTACACTAGCCAAAAACAAAGCAGCCACACTTGCAATTAATAAGTTTATGCATAAATAAGCTTAAATATGATCAAATTGAAATATCCCAATCGTGTCACCAAATGAGCCTTTTTATTTGCGACAAGTTAGAAAAAAAACTTCGTCATAATACACTAGACTTCGCTTGTATAATAAAATTTAAAACAAAAACTGCTCAACAGCGAAAAAAAGTTAACTCAGATTATTTTGGCTTTTACTGAATAATTTGCTGAACTTTAAATCAAAATCTGCCTAAGAGCTCAAATGAAGTTTTACTACTTTTTTTATGGTAAAAGAAAAAACCTACATCATGACCGAGTTTAGATGCTTAGCTTTCCAACGATCATCTCCACTGTTTGCAGGGATTTTGTTTGCATTAAATTCCGCTGTTTGTAGGGATTTTTTGGCACAAGGATTACCTCTTTGACATCCTCTAAATAATTGGCCAACGGTGCCTCGAAAATTGAAAGTTCAACCCAGTCGCACCAGATGAGTTAGGACCGATGTGGTTAACTCATAGAGTAATTTCGGATAGGGTACACCGTCTGGTTCTCACGCTATCTTATTTTCGGCCGGATAGATTCGTGCAACTTCTTAGTCTAATACCGATCCTAATCTTACTCTTATATCTACTAGTCTCAGGGTGTTTAACTAGTCTCTGCTAGGCTCAAAAGATCTAGAGTATACTGGCTTATTGCGACTGCTGAAGTTCTCTTGGAGAGGCAACTAATTTCTAAGTTAAATTCAAATCTCTCAGGTGCTGAAATTACAAGTAATTTCAGCACTTACAAATAAGTGGGTTGTTAGTTGGATGGATTGTGATTGGTTAATATTAAATATTTTACAGTGGTAAAATATCTAATTTATCCAATAATAAAATGTAGTTTAGATCAGGTTCCAAATCTCTAATAATTGTAAATAAAACGACCGAAAATTGAAAAACTTTTCATTCAATTCATTGCTTGAAAAGGAAAAAAAAGCAGTTTTTGTCTCCCGTGACTGTACAGCTGCAAATTTCAACTGAATTTACTCTTGTCAGATTGCAATTATTTGACGCTGGAAATTTTTTTGTTTGTAAGTAACCGCATTTTAAGCAAATCTGGTGACAGTTCATTGCGCCAAAGACCGTTCAGTCAACTCCAGCTTAAGACAAATCCGTAGCAAAACTTAGACAATTCAGCTCGTTTTCCCACAGAGTTTTTCTATTGATTTGTCTTACGCTTGAATTGACTGAACTTTCCTTGACACAACCCTTAGTATGCAGGTCTGTTTAAGAAAACAATATTTTACGAACAAAAAATTCCCACAGTATCAGTATTGTTATTGTCTAGAACGCTGAGCACACATGTCAATCAAACTTGTTCTGATTATAAACAATTATGTTCCATAATCTTCAGGAGCCCTAATTGATGCGCCCGACCAGTTTTTGCTTATCAGCCCAGGTGATCGCAATTCCGACAGCAAAAAAAAATCTTCAACAACTTTGCTAGCTATGCGAAAAAAATCTAAGTGAACAATGAGCGTTTTTGGGTTTAATTGGTTCCAACCACCAATTGCGCGGAAAACGAAATCAGAACAATTAAATGTTTATATCAGTTTTTAAACATTGATAAAATGGTAACTAAATACTATAATGATAATAGATTAAATTGGATTTTTATGGTTTGTCTCCATGAAGATCTATAAAAATCGAATACAAAAACTAAAAGGTAGAAATCAGTCAAATCTAATTTATTCGTTTATTTTGGATTATATTTGATGATATTGGATGTTAAAAGTTAATAAAAATTTGTAAAAATTAGATAAATATGAGTAGATTTAGAAAATGAGTAAGCTATGAGTAATGCAAAAAAGTTGCATGATTTTGCAGAACATTTGAAACAAATTTATACAGATCATAAACCAATATAATGGTTTTTAAAGGGATAAGTTCTTTGAGAACAATGAGTTATAATCAATTGCATTGACCCAAAAAGAAATTTTATTTGGTTAAAAGGCATCTATTTTGAACACAACAATCAATTAAAATTGACTAATACCCATGGATCATCAGTGAGGAAACCTTTCCTCCTACCTCCTGTCACCAGGACAAATTGTTCTCCAGACAAATCGATCATCAGGGCGGGAATCCTTCCTCCTAGCTTGTGTCACCAGTGCATATTGATCTCCAGACCCATTTAGCCTTTTAGATCGCAACTTTTGGAAAATTTTTCATTATCAGGCAAAAATTATTGTTGTCCTGAGCTCAGGTTTTGAAAGATCTTTCACCTTTGATAATTGTCCAATAGTTATTGAGGTTTAAGGATCGCCGTTTTAGCCGAATTGGGATAAGTAACGCCCGATATAATTCGTGCTATTGACGCATAAGCGGAGATTTAATTCGTAGCAGAAATAGTTCAAAATTGAATCGAGGCGTGTCATTTGGTTTTATTCTCACTTTGCCAATACGAACTATATAACTTTGAACTTTTCATAGCGTGTAAAAAAATAGATTAAAAATTTTCGCTGAAAATATTGTCAGTTTTTTTTAAAGTGAACACTATTTCATAGAGCATAAAAGGCAGTCTCGGACTATTCAAGGCTTCGCATTGATACAAGCCGTATTTGAAATTTTCAAAATCAAAGTTTTTTTTACCAATTTCGCCTCCAGTTTTAAAGTTATATATAGTAATTTTTAATTTGAATGAAAACACAAAAAAATATAACCCAGTATAAGTATTGCAGGTTATCAACTTATTTACTAGCTGTATTTGTAAGCGTTCACTATTGTGAGCTATGTGCTGCGGCGTAGACAATGATCACAAACCCAAAAATTAACAAAGAAGCGAGTTATGAAAAATCATTCTTACACATTTTAGAGTTACATCTGGTTAAAGAACGCCAGAAACATCAATTTTAAAGGCAAAAATATTCAAAATATTTTGTGAGCAGATCGAGCTCAGCTCCTTGCTAGTACTATTATAACTTTATCTTGTTTCAAGGGCGGATCTAGGATTTTCTCGAGGGGGCGGATTTTCAAAAAAAATTCGGAAAATTTTGGACTTTTTTTCTAGCCATTTCGCCTTTTAGACCCATTTCGTCTTTTAGATTGCAACTTTTGGCAAACTTTTTAAAATCAGGCTAAAACTATTGTTGTCCTGAGCTCAGATTTTAAAAGATTTTTCCCCTTTGATAATTGTCCAATAGTTATTGAGGTTTAAGGATCGCCGTTTTAGCCGAATTGGGATAAGTAACGCCCGATATATTTCGTGCTATTGACGCATAAGCGGAGATTTAATCCGCAGTAGAATTAGTTCTTAATTGAATCGAGGCATGCCATTTGGTTTGATTCTCACTTTGCTAATACGAATTATATAAAAATGAACTTTTCATAGCGTGTAAAATAATAGATTAGTGTTTTTTCGCTGAAAATATTGTCAGTTCTTTTTAAAGTGAACACTATTTCAAAGAGCATAAAAGGCAGTCTCGGATTATTCAAGGCTTCGCATTAAAACGAGCCGTTTTTGAAACTTTCAAAATCAAATTTTTTAACCAATTTCGCCATCAGTTTTGAAGTAAAATATAGTAATTTTTAATTTGAATGAAAACACAAAAAAATATAACCCATTATAAGTATTCCAGGTTATCAACTTATTTACTAGCTGTATTTGTGAGCGTTCACTATTGTGAGCTATGTGCCGCGGCGCAGACAATGATCACAAACCCAAAAATTAACAAAGAAGCGAGTTATGAAAAATCATTCTTACACATTTTAGAGTTAGATCTGGTAAAAAAACGCCAGAAAAATTAATTTTAAAGGCAAAAACATTCAAAGTATTTTGTGAGCAGATCGAGCTCACTTCCTTGCTAGTACTATTATAAATTTATCTTGTTTCAGAGGCGGAACTAGGATTTTTCGAGGGAGGGATTTTCAAAAAATTTTCGAAAAACACTTTGTCCTAAAGCACTAAAAAGACGCTGTTTTGCTCAATTTGTCTGCGCCGTAGGTAAATTTTTGGGTACTTTTTGGAAAGTTTTGACAAAAAAATTGCGTTTTTTTTGGCGCGTGCTCCCCCTCAAAATGAGTATATATTGGCGCCAAAGACGCCTTTAGAAAAATTTTCGGGTCGATCTGCCAAAAACGGATTTCATAAAAAGTACCAAAGGGGGACCCTTTGGGTCGGCAGTTGGTCGAATCCATTAGGGGGGGGGGGGGGCGTCCTCCCTAAATCCGCCCCTGTCTTGTTTTCCCGTGGGTGGAATTGATTTTTTTATTCACTTCCTTTTAATTGGTTGAGCCGGAAACCTTTGATTTTCTAAATAGACTTATATCGATATGGCATGCAGATCGTCCAAACAAATCGAAGTTCACTCCATGTTTTGTTGAGAAAAAAGACAAAAAAAGGCAAATGGAAATCAGTGACTTCTATGCTTGCTTTTCAGTTCACTTCCATCAGCTGATTAGAATTACACCCGTGAATCTTTACCGACAAATTTCATTCAGTTTCATTTCGATTAGGATACCTAAAATCATGTTGCTGAACTTTTCAGAATCCCGACAAAAGGATGATTTTGAGCCTTCAAAATAGAGGCTATGAATAGGTATCAGATATTACTTGATCAACTATCAGTTGGCGAATATGTAGATATTGAAACATAATATCTTGCAATAAACTGAATTATTATTTTTTTTAATTTCAATTTTAATTTATAAGTGATTCGTTTAAAAACTCATAAAAGAAGAAACTTATGTTTCATCAAAATAAAACTTTTTTGATACGATTTCAGCATCATTAAGCTCACGGTTTCTTTTTCTTTGTTCTCCAAACAAGCCTAATGACTTAAGAAATTTTATGATCTTATTAAATTTTCAATATTACGTTCACAAAAACTTACTAAAAAGGTGTCTACAAGCCCTGTGAAACTTTTGTTTTCGGTTTTTTTTGAAGCCGCGGAGAGATTTTTTTCAGAGATCTGAAAACTCTAGTTTTAACCATGAAGAATGTTCGTAATTTATCACAATAGACATTAAAAAAAAGTTATTTCATTCCTATGCATTTGAGTTTACCTGTCTTTCAACTCAGAAGATAAATTTTTTAGAAGATCAAAGGCAAACAGAAACAACTGGAGCAAAAACAGGATAACCAGCCTCAAGACGACAGAGCCGAGAGTCCTAAAAATGCTGAATTGGATTTCAACGACGCCTACGCACTGCTGAATCAAGCAATGAGCAACATCGAGAACTCCTCTGAGAAGACGAAGCGACGTTTCTACAGTCCCAAAGGTTACTCTCAGAAGTTCAAGGGGTCTACTACTAGTATTTCACTCACGGAAGAGGTATCGGGGGAGGGGCAATTAGCTGAAACGAAAGAAAACACAATTGTAGAGGCATAATCCAGAGATCGTAAACCAGAGATGGTAAAAACTTAGACTGGAAAATTTACCATAGTATTATCGCGAATTTCAACGGACAGATTATGATGATTGCGTTTAAAAAATTTCGTAACTTATAAAGCAGAGCTTCGCATCACGTTGAAAAATAGAACGCAATCTTCTAGTTTTAAGAATCATACAATAGGCGCAAAAACATAAATAAATGGAATAAATTATTATTTACAACCAATCTCTCGATTTTGTTCGAGAACACCATTGAAAGCGACTACAAGAAAATTTCTCATTTATGTAAGATATCAGATTCTATGACAAATTTTTTCACACAGGCGACCTGCACTTCGCACCACTTGCGATACGAACCCAGAAAATTGCTAAGTCAGAAAAAAATTCGAAAATGTCGAAAAACTATATCTCTCAAAATCAAACATTGTCAACAGACAGTTGGAAAAAAAATAATGAACGCAAGGGAACAGAAACTAAACTGACTTGTTTTTCGAAAAAAAAAAACACTTCAATTTTCGAAGTTTAAAGCATAAATATAAATAATGCCCTAAAGCTCTTTGAATCTCACGAACAAATTATGATTAGAGCTCTTTTGATAACACTACCCTAGTCTGAAAACTGAATCAAAATGCAAAACTTTTATTTCGCTGGGAAATCTGATACTTAACTTCCATTTTAGGAATAAGAAGTCGATCACGTTTTTCGTGACCTTTATAATTTTGCTATTCGGTAGTGGAGTTTGCCTACCATTTAGCAAAAGAAAGGAATTGATTATTTTTCACTCGTTGAAAGACGCAATTTCAGGACAATAAGCCGATGTAATAGAAGCCGAAACCTATCAAGTCAACAAAAGCCGAAAAAATGGTGCCATGAAAAGTTTGGGCTATTATTTCTATAAAGATTTTAGCAATTTGTACGCTCCAGTGAGCATGAAAATTATGTTTCCCTGGAAACGACTTCAATTAAGGTCACTAAGCCAAAAAAGTATAAGCCGAAATCATTAGGGCATAATAAAATTTTCCAGCGTTCTGACTTGCTAATTGTTCTGAGTCTGCAAAAAATTGGCCTGCTAAAAAACCGGTCTGCTTAGTTTCCTAGCACCCCGACATCAGATATTTTATGCCACTCTACAGGCTGATGCCTTTTCGTATTCTCACAATCCAAACTAAATTGTATACGTACAATTTGATACAATATACGGTTATAAATTTCTGGCTTGAAAATAAAAATCTTACAATCAAAAAAATTCTTGTGATCAAAATTCTTATAATCAATTTTTGGTGGGATTACGCTGTTTTACTGGCAAAACCAATAAAACACAAACAATATCTTGGTTCAGAAAACAAATTGTAATCGTATTGTCCGTGTTGGGAAAAGCTGATGTAAATTATTGGCTATTTATTCAAAAATTTTGCGACGAGTGGATAAAATTGATAGTTCATTCAGTTGAAAGATGAATTGTTTTTTCACAGTAGCAAGTGGAGCTCCGCATCACTTGTGATACAACGAAAGAGCAGCATTGCAAGCCAGCATATAGTAATGAGACGGTAGCTACAAAATCGAAAAAAAAATTGCGAAAAAAAGCAAGAAAAAAAGGGAAAACAAAAACCACTATCAATAAATAAGCTATTGGAATTTACCGAGCGGTCACTTGTCCAGCAACAAGTGGTATGACGCCCATGAGACCAAAACTTTTGCCAAAAAAAATTTTCGAGCAATTACCTGTAACACCTTGAAATCTTGCAACACAAGCTACTTTCAATTCTCAAAAAAAAACAATCAATAATTTTCTGTTCTTGAAGCGACATGAAAAATGACATAGCAAATTGACAGTTGGAAAAGAGTGTTGAACGCAAGTAAACAAAAAAAATCTCAACTTTTGGTTTTAAAAAAAAGATGCCCTTCAGGCTCTTTGAATTTCTATAACAATTTATGATAGCGCTTTTTTGATAGCATTAATTTAAGTGGATGTAAAAGTTTTTATTCCGCTGGAAATCTTAAAATAAAATTCCACTTACGGAACTAGAAATTGTTCACCTTTTACGCCCTTTCCACGCTCGTATTTGGAGTTCTATTTACGTAACTTTCAGCAGATTCATTTCAATTGAATTCAAAAGGTGTATTTATACCTTAGTACATTCATAAACGCATTAATATGCATTAATCCACATCTGTAGTTATCAAAGCATTTTATGACTTATTCCTGAAAAAAGAGTCTTTTTTTAATAACTCAGCCGATAAAACATTAGGCGAAAGGTTTTCGGGCCATTATTTTACAAATTACAGAAAATCAAAAACACGCGCATCTACAATGAAAATTGCTGACAGCACGATAAAATTCTCCGATGTGGCAATTTAATCGGCAAAACATAAGCAGAAAACGAAAGTCGGACAGTTCAATTTTACCGGAAAAAAACTTTCAATTTCATACATATTGAAAAAAGTAAGTTCCTGTCGGGGCTCGAACTCAAAACTCAGGGTGCAAAGGTCTCGCAGTTGCCGAAGTTCACTAATGAAGCAACTTCACACTTTCTTAAAAATGTGTAAGAAAAGTTATTAACGGGAAAAAGACTAATTCCTGATTATAAGACATCTTCTTTCGCAAGTGTAATTAATAGGTTCTTCTTGAGGCTATATACTACAATCTGTGGATTTAAAATCCATTTTTTTGACAAAATTGATATTTTTTGCCATGTTACTGAGGTCAGAAAAATTAGTGTTACTTGAACAGCAACCGACTGCTCTTGTTTGCTTAGACAGTAGAGTATTTTCAACCACCCACTTTTTGAACATAGATGTGAAACTTCTAGATGCAAAAGCAATTTTTCTAACTTTTCTACCACCCGGATTTTGTAATGCCATTTTGTTCATTCCACTACTACATCGCACCAGCTCTATCTGAATCCAAAAACTCCCTCATCTGACTGACTCACTACAAGGAAGAATATTTCATCAGTTCAGACGTTTTTGAAAACCTGTAAATCAAATCGCCCAAATGTATATGTAAAAACGGTGGTTAAATAAAATATTTCAAATTTCCTGTGTAGATTCGATCATTTTATCTATCTATAAACGGACATTTGCATGAGTCCTCGTTAATTCAAACTTTTACAAAATTAAGGCACTTTGAGATTGTGAGTTTAATTCTATAGTGATTGTACAAATTCAGATTTCAAAAATCTTCAGATAGAAAGATGATGCCAAATATTTTTCCAGAGCCTAAAAAGCAAGTGGGTAAACTTGGATTAACAATTTAAATCTAATTGAAAACAAGAGCAGGTTTTAACTTCATCGATTTCATCACGTAGCACTTAATTAGATAGCTTAATTGTAGCACGAATAAGTGGATGACTTGGCTGATTGATAGTATTCAGTTCCTTCATTCAGTCCTTATTTTGAGGCACAATTTCAGACATCTTTGATATTAGACTATCCAGTTTCCTAAAATATTCCCTTTCGTGAACTGCCAGGAAATCATTCAGCACTAAACCAGAAGCACCACTTTCTAAGAGTCGTCGAAATTCTTTCTCCACTGAATATCTCTCTTCACGTTCGTCTAAACAAAGTAGCCAATTGAAACCAATCCAGTAGTTCTTTTTTTGCAATGAAATCTATTTCAAGATTATTCTTTTGAAGATTAAAGCATTAATTAACACGGATGGAAAGCGGAGCTTCGCATCATGCGGGGTAGAAAATGAATAAAACGTCATAAAAAATGTATTTAAAAAATTGGATTTGTTTTTAAAATCTAGTGATACTATGAATAGCATACATAAAAACCCAAGCAAATAGTTAGCTTGACACTTAAAACCCATCGAAATAGAACCTCTCAGAAAATCGGAATATCTTATAGAGTGAAACCCAAAAAAAACTATGTTTAAAGCTAGGTTTTTATAGAAAAATGGTAGAACGAAAGCCAGTGCACCGGATAAAATATTGAGAATACAAAAACTAAGCCAACAGAATTTCTAGCAAAAATCTTAGAAATGATACGCTAACTTTTGTGAACTTCATTGCGTAAAGACTGACTATATTATCATCAGAACCATATTAAAGGTGGGAAACAAGACAAATAAATTATTCAGAAGAAAAGCGGGTCAAGATTTCCGAGAGGATCCAAACGACTCTGCCTTCACAAGGTCGATTCACACCCTGGCTCGCCAGGATGCATATGGCTTCGAGACAGACGTCTCTGATGTTTGTTTACGGAGCGGAGCCTCAGAAGCCCGCCAGGCTGCTCCGTCTGCTCATCCTTATACTACAATTCCGCTCCGTCATTAATCGTTAAACCAGGTACATACGAAGGTCATCCTTGTAATTTAACCATTCAGCGAATTCAAGCTAGCGTTTCGTCTCATGTATGTGGCTAGATGGTCATTTCGGACTCGAGCTACTGATTCGTCCCACGTATGTGGCTAGATGCTCATTTAACGTAGTGGAATCACTCTTCTAAGCCAACACTACCGAAATTTATACCGTACCTTTAGCATTTATGTTTTAATCACCCCTCCCCCGGAATCAAAGCACCTTCAGCTGCAAATAAGTCAAAAAATCCTCCAGCTCCTAGCACCCCGAACATGGCTTCCTCGAACTCAAACTTCCTACCCCAGATTGACCATCCAGTCAACAATAATTTTCCTATCAAGCCAACTACATTCAAAATATATGAACCATCAAATCATAATAGTTTTAGTCAACTTGAATCCCCTGTGACCAATTCTTATTCTCTCAAATCAGCCAGTCTTTTAGAGAATCTAGCATCTAAGCTGTAACGTAACATCCGGAAAAGTACCCAAAATTTCTGCCTTTCCAGCAAAAAACAAATTCATATCGCATTCCTCCAATAAACTAAACTGAAGGGAAAAGTCGGACTGCCTTTTGGTCCCCTTTATTCTATTTTACATAAAGCCAGGGTTAAAATTCGGCGCAAGTTTAAGCATCTCAACAAATAGAAGAAAAAAATAAATGGCGTCAATTCCTCTAAATATGTGATAACCGCACTGGGGCCAGAAATGTATGGAAAGTGCGACGCTCCCTAAATGGATCAAAGCCTGTAAAATCTAAGCCCTTCATTCGGTTTAAAATCTATTAATTCACCACTAGATATAGCCGAAGCTTTTAGCAAACAGTTACCCAACGCAAGGATCCACACTTCAACCAAACTTCTTCGTACAACGGTACGCAAAATATCCAAATCCCTAACCAAAAACCATCGCGGAAACGGGACTAACCAAACCATCGCGGAAACACCCAAAGTCCTCTAATGCAAACAATTCGGGCCTTTGGCCTGGCATTACTTATTTTTCTCTTTTTAACTACACGCTGTGTGAGGTGTGAGAACATAATCCCTCAAATATGGACAGACTAATCATACTTTTGTCCAAAACAGATATCATACAGAACGAAACTACTACATTGTCAATCAGTTAACAATTTAGAGAGGCTCATCCATTCTATTGTTACTAAACACCTACGATATAACAAGCATCAAGTTTTCTGCCCATTTCACTCCACCGCCACTGCACTGTTTACCCTTCAATTGCACTTCACTAACTCTTTTGATCAGAATCCTATCCTGGCTTATTGTTTTGCTAGTCTAGACCTTTGAAAAGCTTTCGATATGCTGTGCCACTCTTATTTCAAGACATCGGTCCCAAGAGTGGGCTGGCTCAGTAACTATTTGAATAGGAGTCAAGTCACCTATTGTTTTCGCGAACAATCATCATCCTATAGAAAAGTTCACTGGAGTTTCCCATGACTCAGTACTATCATCCTCTTTCTAATTTCCATAACTATGGCGCCCGTCCCCTACCAGAGAAATTTCATCCCACCTCATATGCGGGCTAACTCCGTCCATTCTCCTTAAGCTCTGAGATCCAGAAAGCAACCAACTCTTTAAACGGCTACCAAATTTCTTCAGGAGTGTTTTTTACTTCAGCTTAGTGTTGCCTTCTCTACAGGATCAGTAAACCATTTTCGTCTGACAGCAAAGACTTGCGTAAAGTTTTTGCTTAAATAAACCTAGTTTACCTTTAAGGAATGATATTTGAGCAATAAGATACTCTACCGCTGAGCAAAAATAACCCAAGCAAACGTTATTATTGACCCAAGTCTTAGTTCTTACTCACTACAGACAGTCCGCTAACAAGTCTAGGCGCAGTACAGAAGCTTTGAAAGCCTTAGCAGGGTCAACCTGAGTAGAAACAGCAGAAAATTTAATTTGAACTTACAAAGCCGTTATTAGAGCCGCACTTAATAACGCCTCTACAGCATGGTCCCACGCAGAGAGGCTTAATCTAGTCACACAGAAGAGGCTTAACCCGAAACTCATGCTCTCCGTTCTATTGCTGGTTCCACCCTCATGTGTTCTACTGCGCATCTGCAAAGTGAAGTTGAACTATTAAATGCTCCCTCTTTGTCTTTCTCTTATCTTGCCAACTTTGTATATCCGCTTCCCGTTTTCATCACCCCTAGTTTTTTTCCACCCTCACTCCTTCATCCTTACTAAGTACGCCCTTCTACTCTGAGACCATGAAATAAAAATCTCCCTGTTTGCTTTAAATGTTTTAACCTTTTTTAAAACTTTGCCACAAAAAGCCAGAAACAAAATTTTTCTTGAACTGAAGATGGACACACTAAACAACCAACATGAACCCTTTAATTGCCAAAAAGAAATAGTTTCAAATATGCAGGTGTTAGTCAGATGTTAAAGAAAATACTTTTACAGTACTAGCATGGTATAATTTTAACTATTTTAACATGGTATAATTTTAACTATTCTAAAATGGTATAATTTTAGCTATTCTAACATGGTATAATTTTAACATTTATAATATAAGACAGTATGGAAGTAAAGTGACCGCTTTTTCCTGAATTAACTGAAAATTTTTACACAATAACTTACCATAGGTTAACCCTGACAGATCTTACTTAAATAAAAGAAAGTAATTCTCAAATTTCGCTTGTATGTATGTTAGTATGCCCCACAAGTTAACTTGATCATCTTTTAGCGTATTCCATATCACTAACGATCTTTTAAAAAACAAGTTTTCTATATTTTACAGCAGTATGGCACAGCTCTCTTGTTTTTCAAATGATATCAATCACTTAGCTGATAATCCACTCAGAAGAACGCCGGATAATCTAGACGACTTATAATTAGTGCGTCTATGATTAATAGGTGAATTTTAGGTGGAAAGGGTTTTTTCTTATTGATTGCAGTTTTTCAATTCCGCAGACCATTTTCTTCGAATCGTATTGACTTCCTCTTGGAACGATAAAAATTGATCTAATATTACTCCGAGGTATTTAAAACTTTTTTTCTTCGATGATGTTTTGGGTCTCAAGCAATTGTAATTTTTTTCATGATTTCGCAAATTTGAATATTGAATGCCTGCAAAAATAGTTTAATAAAATTTTTAACTGTTTTCTAATTTCTCTATTGCAAGATCGGCCTTTTGGTTTCCGCAATAGAGTAGCGTGTTATCTGCATATTGTACTACTTTGCATATGAGTTTGGTAATTACAAATTTAAGTCGTTGTTATACAGATTTAAAATCAGAGGTCCCAAAAGGGTGCCCCGAAGGACACCTTGGTGCAATGAAATCCAATCTGATTCAATGTTGTTGTCAATTGTTTTCTGCTGACGTTTTCTGATGAAACAACTCATCATATCATTTCTATTGCACTTTCAGAAAAATTCGAAGTTTGAAGTTTTTGTTGCAGAAACTTATGATCAAAAGAGTCCAATGCTTTGGAAAGATCTATCAATGAGCCAGCAACAAACTTGCTATCAAATGATTTTCTGAATAAATCGCATTGTTTGTGAAAAAAATTGCATCGTTTGTTGAATAGAAAGTTCTGAAACCGAATTCAGTATTGCTTAGCAGGTTTGGCTATAAAAAAAATACTCCAATTAAGGCTAAACTGCAATTGCAGGATTGCGCATAGTCAATTAATTGAACAAGTTCGTCAAGAAATTCAGCATTATTATTTTGCATGAATTTATATATTCAAAAGCGTTTTTCCATCGTTTTTTGAAAGAAGTAGTTTTGATTTCTATCCAGATTCGATGGTATTTTTTACACAGAGTGTTCAGATCTGGTCGTAATTTTGGGTTGAGTATTTTGGGTATTAGGAGCATAACCCTACCACCTTTTGATTTTTTGCTGGCTAACATAGCTCCATCGCATCAATAAGCAATGTATTTAGTTTTTATCTATAGTCCACAAGAGTTGGTCAATTGACTCGTTGAACCAAGTTTCCGAGAAGCCAAAAATTGTATTTTCGCCAAATGTTTTCACAATGGTTTTCAGATCTAAGCGTTTCCTTGCTAAGCTTCCACAGTTTTTATGTTTGACTTTGATGTTGACTGTTTTTGACCAGTGTTTTTGCGATGCTACTTAAGTTAACTGGTGGACCCGGATTTGGGTGATATCACCCGATTAAAGAATTAAAGCTTTCTTTGACCGAGAAAGGATGCAATAAAAGGTTGCAGTTGAATAACAACTGATTGGAAATACTTAAATTGAAACGTAGATAAAATTTAAATATAGCAGACATGAGAGGCACTAGTTTATACATAAAGAAACGCTTGAGAGGCACTAAGTTAAGTAACATGTAATACAATAAATTGAGGCAACTCAAGGAAGAAGAGTTGTATTTGATTTTTTATTCAACGTATGGTAGGTTACTAATTGTTCACTTTCCTATAAAATGTTAACAGAGATGCTAGTTAAAACTAATAGTTGATACATTTTAATTCAACTTAAAGGCCAGACTTATTTGATGAAATCATCTGAACTAGAACCGATAATGACCGTGCACATGATTATATGGTGATTTATTTTCCCCTCTTAAATTTTGATAAAAAGTACGGGGCCTTGAGCAGGGGTGGTTGCGATTAGCGAAAATAATTTGAGTGCGACTATTATAATTTTCTACGGTTTTACATCGTAGCAGATTGTTCGAGTATTGACATACAATTGAAGAAAAAATAATAATCATTATACATTTCAACCTTAGAAATTGCCTTCACATTGTTTAAAATTGGAGGTATCTCGCACACTACCATCATTTCAGGCGTAAACTCATTGGTAATATCATCAATCACGTTATCGTACTTTGACTTCAAGATGGAATTGGTGGGTGTCATCTTGGACCACAACACTTTTCAGTTCACTTGATGGATACTTACTGAATACTTTGATTTTCCCTTCAGTGCTACTGACTCATTAGAGTTAGCTACGGTGTCATTAAACCAGCCGTTTTACTGGCTCCCAGAATCAACATTTTGGAGTCAACGAAAGGTGCAGACTCGCGTATCTTGGCGTTGACCATCTATCTGGCTAGTTATTTCTATTGTAGATATCGACTCACACTTGATAGACCTCCTGTTTTTGTGATTACTTCAATGAAATTTCTGTAATCTTCCTTTTGTCATAAAGATCAAAATAAATTTGTACAGATCTTGTTTGTTCAGTTTATCTAACTGACGAGACCATTGTTTTGATTAATCAATTTGCTCTGTTTTTCAATTTGCAAATCAATTTGCTATTAACGGGAATCGATATTCGGGTAACTTCTGTTGCTGAATAAAACGGACACAATTTCTATTTATAATTCAATTCAATTTTCTATTATCGGGAATTGGGTAATCGCAATTTGCAATCACCTCTGTTTTACCGTACCTTTAAATTGCAGAATATTGTCTACTGAGGCAAAAGGATCTCCAAGACAAATGGAACGTGAATTATCAATGGATAAAATTTTTGATTATTGGATAATTTATAGGGATAAAAATTAAAACTATCAACGTACAAAGAGAACTCTCAACGGATAAAATTTGATATTTAAACCGACGCAATTATTTTACAATTCAATTGCTTTTTCTTTTTCCACATTTCGATTCCAAAAAGTATACCAGTTTTCAGATTTGTTGTTGAATTGTTCGACTTTTACTAAATTTCGTTGATTATTGAGATGTCTTTTGGATCAAGAAAGATTTCATTAGTAAGCTGGCATTTTTTTCGAGTTAGAAAGTTTTCATCAAGGTTATGACATAAAAACTTCAAAAAACCGACTGTTTTCTAGCAATAACCTCTAATTCAACCCTATGGCGGGCTTACAAGAATGGCGCGGAAGACAAATATTGAACTTAAATAAAAGCTATCAAGTGATTTTTTCCAGCTTGTTAAGCTTAAAAAAGTCCATATTCTGACTTGTTAACGCTCGTTAATCGCAAGCCTGATGAGTGACTTTCAACCTCTTGTGCATAAAATTGAACTCCTGGGGGGTATAACTAAGATAGACAGGTCCCTTGAAAAGGTTACACTGAAAAACAGGTCTCATGTACGCATTTACACACACACTTATTTCGCATAGTAAAACTTGAGAAATCAGTTCTTTTTCTGCAATTTCTTTAATTGTGCCGCCTTTTTTGGTAATTTGTTAAAAATCACAAAACTTGTCTTAAAGTATACTAGGGCATGATTCTTCATAATAATCTTCGGATTAATAATCAATTTGACAAATTTAGGCGAATTTTTCTCACGGAAACTGGATATTTCCAGGTACTAGTCTACCATAACTGTACCCCTGAAACGCATTGTTCATACGGGTAACTTTTTTACTGCTCTTAAAAATTGGCGAATTTAAAAAACTCGCCAATCAAAGCTATCAAGTGATGGTAATTGGTTGAGTTTGATTAAAACGAGCATGTTTATAAAACTACCTATGCTGATTGAATGAGCAGGAAATCTGACAAGAAAGTTCTCGTAGAACTTCAGGGATGACGGTTTCGATTTATCAGAGAACACGCCAGAACGTATCACTGATCGCTTTGTCGCCATAATTGTTCATGCATGGAACGCTGATTGGTCATTCCTCTAATCAGCCTCCATGATACCACCTGAAATTGAAAAAAAAACATTCGGTGATCAATCAAAACTCGGCACCAGAATAATGATTCAACACCCTTGCTCGTCGCAAAGGTAAAACTAATAACAGAGAATTAAGTGCAGGTAACCACAAAAGTTTTTCGTCCTATTTCAATTCATCTAAAAAAAGTTGTTTAATTTTCTACAATCTGAGCAGCAACAGGTGAATCGCCAAGTCAACAAGTTATTGGAGTCAGCGCTTTGTCATTTCTCCATGGGTTGAAGAGTCTTGTTCACTTGGCCAGTATTTCTTTCCTTTTTCTGATAGGTAATCAGAAGTTCAAAAGTATCATAGTAACCGAGGTTACAGTCAGGAGTCCCTTCATCAGGTATTCCAGTTAATATACTTGAAATTTTCTAGTTATGGAAGTGATAATGATAAAAGAAAATGACAATTGCTGACGTCCTTACAATTAAAATCGATACGGGTTACGTTTATTCAATATGAACACGCAACTCGACACGAGAAAATGCTCTAGAATTTTTCGACCATTCAAATTAAAAAAAACTGTAATTACATTAATATCGTAATCATTAAATACATTTTCCTGTAAATTTCTGAAATTTTTTTAAAGTTTTTTGGTTTTCCATCGTTATAAAATTTCAATTTAGGATATTTGCGATTTTGACATGTCAGTTTTTTGAATTTTAGCCATGCTATACATGGACTATAATTTTAGTGTTAATTCCCGGTTCCTGAATTCATCGCGTGTGTTAATTCTCGGCCTCTCCCTCCAAATATGCAATGCCTCCAGTGTGAGTTGCTTCTAAGTGTTGGCTGTTTGGTCTATAATCTCTGACTACAGCTCAGCAGTACCGCCTACCTCCTTATTACCTTCTAACAAGTGTTGCCCTACTGAGAAGTCACCTTTGCGGTGTTCACCAACCCTCGTGGCTAAATGTCGGACTGTCAGGCCGACCTAGGTGGAGTTACATCCACTGCATCCACTACAAAAAAAAACATCTGAAATAAGATGGTCTCCACACAGTGAACACGTGTCTTACACAGCTTAAAAACATCAGTCGAGTTTAAATAGAAAAATATCCTCACCTATGCTCTCTATATATATGTAAATAGCATCAACTAATGATTTTCATTGTAATTTAACAATTTACAATCTCACAACTCTCAACTATTTCTAGCAATATCAAGGTCTGCTTTTAAATCAGACCTCTCAATAGAAAAAGTTTAAGGGTTTCAATGATCAATCTTAAATGATTGGTATCAGTTTTAACGCACAAAAGTAATCAAGTTTTTCTCCTTCTCTCTTCTCTATCACTTTCATCTCGTGTCACATCTTGATCTTCACTCCATTGCTTCTTATCTTTGTCTTCTGACTCGCTGTCTTCTAGGACTATCTCAAGCATGTCCACGGAGTTGATAGCCGTGCCCCAACTCTCCTGCTATAACAGCCTCGGTTTCAACAAGGTAGTAAGTCTACATTCACCTTTTGCTCCCGGTTCCTGCAAAAGCTGTTGTGCAGACACAGGCTCACATTGCGTTATAGATCAGCTTGTAAGACCTCTCTCTTTTCGGCTTCAGTAGCACAAAAGCGCTCCAGCTACTCGCATCACCGCCGTGGTAACAGCGTTGCTGTGCGTTAGGAATGCTCTCTTATAGGCTCCTATATCTAGCTGGAAGTATTGATAGGCTTCCGTGTTCCTGGACATATGACGCTTCGCGCGTTCATACATCCATGACGTCATTGCTGCACGGAACCAAGGCATCAACCTTTGCCTTGACTATATCCTCTCAATGGCTTTAGGTATCCTCAGAACCTTGCAGGTGGTTCTGAAAAGATCTATGTTGTTGTTCAACTTCACGTTACTTAGTTGCTCGGGTGTCGGCACAGCCGTCTCCTGCTCACTCGTGCCCTCGTTAGCTTCTAACCATCTCACCGCCAGCATGGCACTAACCACCACGATTGACACTTGTTGACTTTGGTCGGGCAACCCCGTGGAGTACAACTCCTCCACGTCCCACACCAACACCAGATTCCCGCGTTTGGCAGAGACAAGGATACTCCCCATGGGTCATCAATATGTTCCTTCGGGTCCGATACCCTGAAGCTCCCAGCAACGGTTCCACTTCGATCATAATCCTGTTTACATCGTCCTTTTCATCCAAGGCAAGGAATTCGGTGGGTAACGCTCCACTCGCCTTCTTCTTCTGGAATTCACTCACATTATCCTCACTCAACCTCATGAACTCTTCACCCACTACGTCCTGCAACTCGCCTTCAGATCTCTTCGAGACGGCCCGAATGATCTTCGTCAGTAAATCATACGACCTTTCTGACATCCTGGCTAATCTCACGCACTTTGGTACAGAGAGGAGTTGGTCGACCACCACCTGCTGCGTCCTCGCGTCCATTAACGCCATGTGACTAGGGTACCTACTATTGCAATATGGTGCGGAGCTCGAACCCACCAGATATTTCGAACCAGTAGGTCTATGATAGGCCTATCTGTCTTTCAAGTTTACCTCGTTCTCTAGAGCCTCTCGCCAACCGCCAATCTTCTGCTCAGTCTGCAATGCCCCAGGGAACAATTCCACACTTAAGGACGGAACCAGCCCATGGGCACGCTCCAGGCGTTCTAATGAATCGATCGAGCTCGTCAAACTGTAAAAACCCAAGGCAGTGATCAAATTCACCTCCGTCACTCCGTGTGAGTCTGCTATCAATTCCATCTCACTTTTGTCCCACATGCTTAACCTTCCATACAGCTAAGCTAGTTGGCAATGTTGCTCACTCAGCGTGTTCAGACAATGGCCCGTGCCACACACGTGTCCTTCCATTCCACAACTGGAAGCTAGACAGGTGGCCTGTCTCAACCAATCACTCGAAGAACTTCCCTCGGAGGGTTCCGTAGACGGTCTGCCATTCTGCTTTGTTACTTTCAGGGCCAGCAGATGATGTATCATGGCTAAATCATGTAGACTCGCGTCATCATCCAAATCCAACACGATATCTGCCGTCATATCCCAGATTAAACCGGCATTCGGGTGTGGACACCATGAAGGCTCTCACATGGTTACTAAGCTGGTCTTCAAGGGACCGTCCCATGAACCACATTCAAAGCTCACTTGCCCTTTTAGCTCAGGAACCGAGGGCTCAACCACTCTTTCCTCCAAAATAATTCCCAGCTCGGGTTGTTCCACCACCAGCTTGCCAGTTTCCTTGGATCGCTCGACCCAGAAATCAAGTATCATGAACTGCTCGCAGTCAAATTATGTCTCCCTGGCTTCCTCGTCCACAAAGGGATTGTAGGGCATCCCTGGTATGTCTGACACATATTGGAATGATTTCAACTTCTTCAGGATTGCATAATCTTTCTGCTGCCTGACGGCCTCAGTTGACTCACGGCTTACTTTCAACTCTTTGTTGGCGTATCTTCTCACTTCCTCCAGCCTACGATAGCTTCCTAAATCATTAGTCTCTTTACTAGGTATGAGCAGCGGCATGTCCTGATATAGTTCCAGGAGAGCCCTTAGGAATTTTTGTTCACGATCAACTTCCCTTTGCCGAATGGTTTTTACACATTCTTCCAATACAGGGGTGGGGATGAGATCCACCGCGAACCTCGCAAAGCAAAAGGCGTCTTTGCGCTTAGCCTAGGCTATCGCGGAATCGTTTCTGCTGATCAACCTTCGCAGGGCTTCTATCAGTTCCAGCTCCTGTTCCTTCAATTTCGAGTAATTACTGGCCTCGTATTCCGATCTCTTAACTCCCATTAGGCACCAGGCCAGTCGGGCCTGCAAGTCAGTTCTCGCTCATAGGTAGGCCAGGTACGCTGCCACCTTCGCCGGTGCATGCATGGTCTCGTCGAAGTATTTCTCAGGGGCCGCCCTCCAAGAGATTTCTAACAATTTTTCCAGCCCGATCTCATTTGCCTCCGAGAACATCACGGTGCCGTATTCCTTCCGATTCAGATTAGAGTCATCCGTGAGTGTCTTCACGTACTCCTGCATGGCGTGCTTTTCGCTCCAGGCCATCAAGTGCCGTCTCGCTGAGTTTCTCGCCTTGAGCATCTCCACATAACCCCCGGCGGGATCCCCCATGTGGACTGAGTCGGGTACTGAGACCCGACTGTAGTCAACCATGCCGAGTTTTCCCTCCAGTTTCATGCGGGCCATGTTAATCCGCGAGGGTTTGTAGTCACCGAGCCCTGTAGATCCACGCTGACTGATGACCTCCATTTCAAGCTTTGTGTCCGCTAATGTCCGTGCTTTTTTCTTCGACCTCGTGGCTGTTGAGGTCAAGCCTGCCAATCGCATAGGGGGTATTAAGTTTTCTTTCTCTCCTCCGGCCAACGCTGCACCATCTCCCTGACCACTTTCACTTAGACAAGCTACTTTTGCCAACGAGCCCACTACTGCGTTCGCCTTCGACTTCACTACTCTCTGATTCACTATTTTGCTTTCTGTTCTCCGCTTCAATCTATTCAGCCCTTTCTTTAATCGCCTGACGGGTAATTTTCTCACAACCTGATTTTCCCCGGCACTGTCCTCCGAAACTGACTCGGTCAGAACTTCAGACTCTGCGGAGCTCATTATTTTCCCTAGAACCTCGCGCATGATGGGTTGGTTCAACCCCAACTTCATTACGGACTGCGTCCCGTATATGCGTAGCACGTCCCATGTCCTCTCCATGAAAGTTACTCAGTTCCAGGTCACTCCCGCTTTCCATTCAAGTTCGCTCTGGTATCTCTCCCATTTCTCTTCAGGCAAGTGCCCAGGAAGGGCACCCTCATTGTCTCGTCGATTCTTCTCCTCCTCGTTGATTCATGGAGCAGTTTCAGCGTACCCTTACTCCTGTATTCCACTGCCAGGCCTATTGGATCTACTGGGGACAGACTGGCTGGCGCATCCCTCGTAGGAGACATGAATGACGATGGTGTCATCAACAATAGATGTTCATCGACGTCCCCGTCATCGTCGTCTTCACTGAATCGATATTCCAGCAAGTCCCT